ACCCTATCTTTTTGCCTAATTTCCGACACATATAGTCAACATGTTTGTTCGAAGTTAGTTGCTGATCTATTATAATACCTAAATACACAATCTACAAAATCAAGTACCTCTCCCTCAATTTTCACTGGCATATTTAAATCCACCAATTTCTTGCAATTATCCTTCGAACCTATAATCATACATTTCGTTTTTCTCACATTTAATTTAATCTTGTTTGTTTTTAACCATAAACTAAGTTTGCTCATTTCACTATTCATTACATCTACAATTTCGTTACTTACTGAATCACTAACTGAAATTAATCTATCACGCGCAAACAAATTTATAAATGAATTGCTAAGGACATTCGACATATCATTGACATATAGAATAAACAGCAATGGGCCTAGTACGCTGCCTTGGGGTACTCCATGATCAACAGAAATATTACTTGATATTTTACTTTCAATTTTTACCACTTGTAACCGCTCAGAATTGGATGATGTTGCGTCTGTCTAGCAGTAGCAGTCATTTGAATGGTATTAATAATACTAAATCGGTCTCCATTTGGGGCGAAGTTTAGCTTATAACTACTCTGCCACTTAACGCTTAACAATATATACAAATCCAATAAAATGAGTAAATTATAGTACAGTACTAGATACTAAGTAGTATTATATAAATATTACATAAATCCACCTATGATATCAAAATTATGTTTTGAAAGTGCATAGTTCATGTTCATAATTTAGAGAAATGAGGTGCGATGATTGTCTTTAAATTGGTTGTTCAAAAATGACTTACTGAACTTGTTATTCGAAATCGTTGAAGCTCATCGTAGTGGTAATGCATTGTATAGTATATAATGGCTTTATAAGTAAAGCACTTATCGAACAGTGATGTCCTGTGACGAGGCATGGTTAACGTATTCACAAAACGAATATTTTTTGAGTGAGCGAAATATTAGCTAGTCTTTCATAGATGTGGTTAGAACTTGATGCAAAAAACATAATAAGTAAAACTTCAATAATTTTGTTACATTTAACCAATTCAGTTGTTAAAAATACGAGCTAATGTGATCATACTTTAGAAGGTTAAAATGTAATCTATATCAGAATTTTTTGCAAACGTTGCATTTTAAATGTCTGCGTTCAATATTTCCAATAAAATCAGAAATTTGAAAAAATATGAATTTCTTTTTTATAACCGATTCAAATGTTAAATGGATCACCCTTTACATAACCGGTGTGCATACAGTATAGTACTCCTTGATTTTGAATACAATAAATAGTTTTAATAAGCAATCTTTGAATGACACCCATCTTTGTATGATAACATCATGGAATGGGCACCAGCAGGCGCGTACCGAAGAAGAATTCGATTGGTGCTTACGTCACGAGTATTAAGATGACTCAATCGTACCCGAATTTCTCGTTTAACTCCGTCTAAAAAATCGTGAAACATCCACTACCTATGAAGTATTCGTCAGGCAGATTTTGTTTTAACAGCTTTGCATTTCGATATCTTTGACAAACGCTCAACGCTTCAATAAAGTTCAATTGGTTCCAATTCCTGCATCGGAACTAGTGTAATTTTAAGCAAACACGAGTTTCCATATCATTTTCAATTACAATGAAAAGCCAGGATATCGAGTGCACTGTAGCCTACACATGATCTGATATCTGAATATAGGAAACTATACCCTAACAACAGCAAAAACCGCACAATTATCCGTTTTATCCATTAACATTCCGGATGCAATATGATCATTGGCACGGATTATATTGCCTTTCAAACCACGTAACACATAGAAACTCTGTTTAATATTACCTGGCATAAGTAGATGCTTGACTGATACTTGATACATTCCATCTTCATGGCATTCGAGTATCTTTCGAGAGTATGTCGACAGGTCGAAATCTCAAGAGGGCCATTAAAATGATCACAAGAGTTCGGATAGTACTCGTCGTACATAAAATTGAAGAGCGAATCATTATTTTTATAATCACAGCTCCATCATCATACATGAATATAACATAGTCCGGTCGAAAGGTTCTCCTAAATATACAGTTGGATCGTTGTAAGAAAACTTATAATGTCATGGACAAGGGAAATTTCTGGTTCCGCCCAGACTCTTTTTGCTTCCTACGCCACTGGCGAAGAAGTATAATTGCGAAAAGTTTTTAGATGTCATGCTCTTTAGATGTTATATGATATCTAGATCGCGAAAAACCATGTCACTCATTTCCGTCGGTCGGTCTTCCCGCTAATCCTTGGCTCGTCTATAACTATATCTTTGTAGATTTTGAGAATCGGTCCAGTGGCAGCGGTCAAAAGGCCAAAAACGAAAAACATTAAAGTCGTCCAATCTCTCTTTTTGACGTTTCTGAGGAACCTGATCATTTTTGCAGAGGTAAAAAAATTGACGTTGGGGTTGTAGGGGATGTAGAAGGGTATATGTCAATTTTCCTGTCCTAGCAATTTATAAGTTTCCAACCCGGTAAGTCCACATAAGCATACATTATAGATTTCCCATACATTTACGTTTAAAACGCGAATGATAGAGATACAGTAATGGACAAAAGTAATAGACAAATTAATATTGTGCTGTATTTCTTTTTTAACTTGTTTTCAAATCATTTAATCTTCTACGAGTACTTATAGTTTTCGTAGAAACACTGACCATTCCTTTTGTCTCGATTTTGGCTTTTATTTGTCTTGGGGTTTTAAACGGATCTGAAATTAGTTTTATTAATCTAACTGATCTAGCCTTTAGTTTTCTAGGCCGACCATTTCTCTTAGAGGTTCAAGATAAGTTTTGTTTATATTTGTTCAGTATTGCCCAAACTGCTTTACGCTTCAGCTTCAAATTTTTGGCAATGTCAACTTGACGTTAACCATCTTTGTATGACTCAATGATCTTAGTTTTCAGATCGAATGAAATTTCTGGACCACGCGGCAGGTCTTAAAATCGCTCAACTTATTCCACAATACTTTATGAACACAAACTAATCCTCTTCTGACACGAAACTGTACTAAAATAATGTTGAAAAGAATTTGTCTACATATTTTTGTCCCTCATAAAAAAGTGTTTATATCCAGACTTGTATTGTGTTCATTGCAGATAATGTAAAAACAAGGAATTTAGTTTTTCTACTAATAACGCATTTGTTTATGGAGCAATGAAGTATGAATTCGTTTTCTAAAGGTATTTAGGTAAATATTCATATTTGTCTATATACTTTTGTCCATTACTGTATGTGTGCCGATCAAGTCAACGAGCGTACGTCTGTCTGCTTCGAATGCTGATCGATAACAGAATGATGATGCGTGTATACGTGAATGCAACCCCGTGCTGGATTGCCACGAAGTCGATACTGTCAGTAGGGCGGTAGGCTAGATCGCAATGTTGTCAAATCTGTGGGGACTATGGAGTAATTGTATGAGTTTGTTTTACTGACATGATCCATTTGATTCCCTTGTTATAGATGCTCGTAGCAATTTTTTTTCTAACTTGTATCTACAGTAATCATTTGTGAATTAATGACAGCGTTGCGTAGGAAGTACAGGGTCAACTTACTTGACGCCGTTTTTTATATTCCTGGCATCATTCTTTACCACGCTGTATACAGGTTATCAAGATAAACTGGTTCAAATTCTATTGTATTTCGTTTCCTTTTATTTTCTCCCTGCCGTTTGAGTAACTTTTTCCTTTTTGAGTGAGCTGATGACATATCCTAAAATATTCAATACACCCCGAACTGTTCGCATGCACATCCGTTCTGAATAACGAATGTGGGTGTTTCATTTCATGAAGTGTCATGATAGTTCAAACGTGTTTCTTTTCTCTTTTTGCCGCAACATATAAAATTTATTGCTATATGCATAATACACGGTCGAATTCAGTGACGTGGGGCCGTATTATCATTTAGCTTTCGATCAATATAGATTTATTTATAGGTCATAGGTACATGTAGAGTAATGTAGAAACATCGTAGGATTACTGTAATTATAGCACATATCCCGAAATTTGCGATGAAGTTTTCTACTGAAGCTATTACAAAAATACACTGTGAGGCGAAGTGACAGGGCTCAATAATGATTACATATCTAAAAAAAATTCCGCCTACAATTTTTCAAAAGTAACAGTCGTTTTCCCAAAGCCATACTGAGTCTGCTTGAAAATTCTCTGTTGGAGTGTTTTGATGTGTTCTTTAAAAAAGTGTTAGTTCGCTTGCTATTGTTTTTAGTAAAGGTAGCTCTGAAACAGAATCAATCTGACTCTAAGGTAATGATTCTATTTTTTTCAAAATCCAGTGTCTCCGGCTTAACGTCGACTTCTGGGACACCCTGTAGAATTATATCGACGATCTTAAATCAATACCTCGTAAGTCCGAAAATGTCGATTTTCTGGTTTTGTTCTGTTTGTATTCCTGTATGCATACAGGAATGCTCTCAGAAAATCCATATCGATAGTTCTTATTCGGGAAGCATCGAGGATCTCAAATCAATAAATACCTCGTAAGTCCGAAAATGCTGATTTATGCATACAGGAATCAAAACAGAACAAAATAAGAAAATCGACATTATCGGACTTACGAGGTATTAATTTGAGATCCTCGATATGTAGAATTAAATGCGTTTCAAACAAGTTTATGCTAGGCGTAGCTTTGAATCCACATATTGCTCTGAATTTGGGAATCGACTCGTATTTTTTCGTTTGTAACAATATCTTCCACATACCTACCTGCCCACTATGTTCCTAAACGGATCCCTTTATTTTTAAAGGCTGCCGCACCATTACTTAAGCGGTCTTCTTAATCTTTCTGATCTTAGAGTTTTGTTTATATTTTGAAGAAAACCTTTGGCCAGAAGCTTGTATTCATACGTGACGCGTAGACAAGCAGTTCAAACGCCCGTGGAATCTCTTCAGAAATCTCATGACTTGTAAAAAAGACACGCATCCGGGGTGGACGTGATGTTATTTTAATACATCTGATGATTCAGCAGAAAGAGCATACCGTTCATTAATAAATAATTGTACCCTCCCTCCTGTTGCTGGGATCGCTTCACAGTTTCTTTGTCTGTGAAGTACTACAAGTATATAAACTACAAATAGTAGACTCACTCCGCTACCATACGTTAAAGCGTACGAATCAGCAAAAGGCTGAACGCTTAAGAGTGTTTTCCTTCGTCCAGCCAACTGTGTAAGGCGCTGTTCCATGATTATTGCCAATTATCAGCGCGACCCAGAAGGGACAACAAAGAAAAGCATCGTGAAATAACCTCTCTCAGGGTACCAAGTTGATGGTAATACTCGTGCAATAGTATTTCTAGCTGAACACCTTGCATGATATTTTTGCTGCGAGAGAAATCAAGAAAATTAATAGAATGAGGAGGATAGCAAGCGTTAAAAAATTAACTGGATGAGATAACACCACATTCTGTAGATAAACGTGGTTGAAATTTGAACCATTACTGGTTGAAATACCAGTAAGAGATACCTCCTATGTAAAAGGGATGTTACCAAGATTTGGCCTGCAAAGGGGCAGTTGCATCGAGGCGCTAGCTTAGAGAAAAATTGCCTTATGGAAATAATTATACTGCCAGAACACCTCCCCACATTCTTCAGTTTTAAACGACAAATAAGGCCCGATTTTCTCACCTCAAGATGCACTATCATTTGTGCCTCGTTAAAGCCGGAAATTCTAGGACCTATTTTGTCGTTGTTCAGTCTCATAACAACCTTTTTCTTTGAGTTAGGGCCCCTGAAGTAATGTTTCTAGGCCCAATTTAAACGGACAGTTCAAGGCTACTACTCCTATCTAGGGCAAGTAGTAGTAGTAGCAGTAGTTATCAATAGCGGTGCCGAAAACCCCTGCCGTTGTAAGATGAATTTTAACGTACAATTTGCTACCGATTTTCCATTTCCACGTCTTTCTGACTTTCTTCAACTTGCTGTTATATTTACTACTACATTTCACAATATGGATAACTGTTAAAATATTAACAAGCTAGTTAAACTCAGTGAAAAATAACTAAATAGTTACTGAAGTGACGTCTGAATCAGTGGTTTTCTATAAATGATAATAACTAATGTCTTTGGTAAAAATTCAACTAATTTACCGGAGCTGTTCACACTTTCAGAGTCACTCTTTATTTTTCAGCCCCAACGCAAAAACAAGAGTTGTTATAAGTTTAACATGTGTATCTGTGTGTCTGTTTATAGTATCGTAACTCCCCAACGAATGAACTGTTCAAAAGTTTAAATATGAAAGCTTTTCTGCGAATGATTTTCATTTTCGTATTCTGTGTGCTACGGCTTTGCACTATCTTCTGTTGAAAGTTACACCAAAGACTATTCATTCTTTCCTCGATTGTTTCCCATGCTTTATCTTGATGCATGCATTTATCTAAAACAACGATCTACTTCTTCCGAAAGTGAAAGCTTCAAAGTTTCTAGTACCAACCAAGATAATAAAATAATCATTTTGTGAAAAAAAAACGCTGTTCTTGAAAAGGACGTCATAAATGGTTACCTGCTCGAAAATGTATACATTTGCGTCGCATCATGTTTTATGTAGGCCGTCATCATTATTATACCTTTTTTTTAATAATGTGTCTACATTCCAGGGTTTAATTTTATGGAGAAAAAGTTTGACTAAAAAATGGCAGAGTAGTCAGAAGCAAAACATAAATAATAGAAAGTTAACATGTATTTATACATATTAAAAAACAGAGAGAAATTTACAACACACGGCCCAATGCATTCAATTAATTATGCGATGATTAGTGGAAACTTTTATGTACCACCCCAAATATTAATGGCCTAAAAATGTTTAACCCACTTCCTTTAGAAATAAAGAATTGTCAGTCTAACGACATTTAAGAATCTCTTAAAAGACTATTTAACATAATTGAAAATGGCTTTTATTGGGTGGAAGAATATTGTGATATATGCCCTTAAATCTGATTTTCTACTATTAGACTGTTTTTTGCTAGATATTAGGTTTTTTTAGATTTGAAAATGTATGACAATTCCTATACAATGTTGTTTGTCGAGAGGAAATAAATAAATAATGTTCGAAAGTCAAAACCTGACTATCGTATTTTAAGTCTCGTAGAGGCACTCCAGTTAAGGCTGAATAGGATCTGTTTGCTTTCCGTTTCCAACTTATACAACGAGATTTCATACTTTTTAGAAATCATCAGTGCGTTCTAGGTCTGGTCATTGGAGACACAACGGAAAGCAAGCACGCGAATATGGATCTACTAAAAATTTCATGTGATTTCCGGCATCTCTGCATAATATTTGCTTGGATGAAACTGACAAATGAGGGCCACTTACTGCTCTCCTGAGTGATGAGACGCCTATGTGGTGGCCGACACTTGACCGTTATTGAGACGGTATGTCATTCGGAAATGCTGGGAAATGCATGTAGCTTCCTGGTACCGACATATGGGTGGGTAGTACCGCCGTTAGCTAACTACTTATAGGCGGTTTCACCTCTTCGTGAGAACTTCAGTGAAGTTTTGAAATCCAACTAGATCAAAAACAATTATACCGAACGATTATCTGAAAGTTACCGATATCTGCTAACATTTCGGTGAGCAATAAAACGAATTTTGGGCTGGTAGCAGTTTCATTACTTTTTTATTTTCGCATGTCTAATGTCTTGATCGCATTTAATCAATTGGTTTCGTTGGTTACGTACTATGAAATTGCTGTTTATCTGCTATTATGCATACGGCATTTAATTTGAAGGTAGGTGCTATTTACCAATTCCTACAGATTTTATTTTAGATCGTTTATTAAATTTATGAGTAGTAGTAAATTTCTTTCACATTGCAAGCCGCGAACCGCTGATACTGGAACAAAAGATCATCAGTGCACAGATTCTTTGAATCTCCTTTGATATCCTTGGATCTCTTTGGAAATCCTTGGACCCCTCGGATTTTCTTATACCTCTACCAGATAAAATCGCAAGATATACTGAAAAATCATTATAATTAGCAACTACGGGGCTTTTTGGAATGGAACTCGTCCAGAACTAAACGCGCTCGCGCCCTTCAAAATATTCGTTCCAGCAGTCAATGTTTTGGTTTATTTTACTAATGTTCGTTCTTCCAGTATATTTGGTGCTTGTTCTGAACTAATTGGTTACTATAAAAATATGTGCTAAATAAGATTTAGAACATTTATGGTACAGACAAGATTAGACATGTGTCCAGCGTCAGGTTAAGGGTGGAAGGGCACATTTTGGATATCAAGTTTTTTGTTCGCATTTATGCTTGTTTGGTCTGCATTATTGTTTTGTGGCTTACATTTTAAACAAAAAGTTTGAAACCATGAAGTGAACATGATGTATTTTTTGTGTATTAGCATTATACTGCTATGTTTTAACTACAATAAAAAAATTCGTAACCTTCAATGATTGGTTAAAAATCAAATGAAATTCTCAAAACGAATTCATAGAACAAGGAAAATCGTTCCAGCAGGTACTAGTTTTTGTTCGAATCATGTCACTGGATTTTTCGAGAAAGAAATAGTCTCAACAAGAGGGCCGGATTTGAATTTGCCGCCATTTTTTTGTACAAATGGTATGGTGTTTACTTGCTGACAGCTGTCATGTCCAGACTACGCGATTAGACGTCATGGAGCAGTATTTAAACGAGCAACGTTTAATTATTGTGAAAACTCACTACGAAAATGGAGAAAATTACGCGGCTGGACAAAATTTACGTTGCTGAATGTGAAGACCTGGTGTCGCCGACCTGGTCGGTCCCTCGAAAATATAGTCGCAGTGCGGGAAAGTGTGGCCGAGAATCCAGGCACTTCCCTTCGGCATCGTGGCCAAGATTTGAACCTTACCAGACCCACTCTGCAACGAATTTTGACAAAATATCTGTGCTTGCAAACGTACACGGTTCAATGACGCAAGAACTCAAGACAACGGACCATGCGCAGCGCCGTGAAATCGTTGATTGCGCGCTGGGATACCAACAAATTGATAGGTACTTCTCGAAGAAAATCATTTTCTCTGTTGAGGCACATTTTCAATTGACGGGTATGTCAATAAGCAGAACTGCCGGATTTCTGGATCTGAAAACCCTCGTGTAATAATCCTACAACCTATTTCTTCGAAAATGCAGTTGGATCGAATTGATGTGTAGGATATGTTATTCCAAAAAGACGGTGCCACCTGTCACGCAGCAAGCGAAAAGTGGTGTTACTGCGGACCAAGTTTCCAGACCGTGCCATCTCTCGGTTTGGCGACCAAGATCGCGCCTATGGACATCTTCCTGTGGGGCTATGTGAAGGAAAAGGTGTATGCAAACAAGCCACAAACAGTTGAATGCCTTAAAGAAGAGATACGGCGCGTATCGACCAAATAGAGTTACAGCTGTGCGAAAACCTTATGCAGAATTTTAAGAAAAGGCTGACCCTGTGCCAGAGGTTTCATGGTGGCCATTTACCGGATGTCGTATTTCATGTTTAATCGCTATTGAAATTGTTTTTCTTGAAAATCAAATCCGGCGCTCCTATTGAGACACCATTTATATGTTCTGAACATTAATGAAACATTTTCTGGAACAAAGCTAATAGTAACAGAAAAGTATCGTCCTCGCATGCGCAGATACACGGATACCCGTGGATTACTTCAAATCTCCCCTTAGAGTGCTCAGTGTAACAAAAATTACGAATCCTTAAGCCTTCCGTTACGTTATTTTTTACTACGACAGCAAATAAGGATGGTTGGAAAAACTTTAATGATTACTAAAGTAATTTGACAGTTCTGATTACTCTCAGTGATGACAGGTTGCATATTTTTCAGATTTTGACGTGAAGCTCACGCCAAAATATTAAAACCTTGTTAAATGTTTTCATGGAAAAGTTTTGTGAATATTTTTATTATAGGTTTTAAATCATAGAGCCACAGAACGACAAGTGACCACAGAACCAGCAGAACGACAGTAAAAGTTTACCTTGTCACATAGCATCACAAAAACACTGGCTATTACTTGCAATTATTTTTATCTGTGATATAAAACTTATATTTATTCTAATTTAACCAATATTTTTTTATAACTTGAAATTATTTTAATTAAGCTTACCTAGCTTTACGAATTCCAGCAACAGCGCTTAATAAGACAAAAATAACCATACGAAATAAGCGCTCCCTAGCTAACGGAGCTTTCATATTCCGAAAACAGATAACGAAGATTTGTCCTGGTCCTGCGCAAACTTGAAATAAGGAAGGTCATAACAAAGTAGCAAAACAGGATCTCTATTGCCTCGATTCCCCTTAATCGCTTCGTGTCTTTTTCTGTTGCCTCAGATCTCCTTAGATTGTCTGATATCTCCTTCCACTGGCAAAGAAAATCCCTTCAATGCCTTTATACAACATGTACAATGCTGTATAAACCATACATTTGCCATTTGCGATCCGTTTTATTTTTGATGTTTATCTTTAGGTTAACGTTCCGATTTTCATGTGATAATCAATTCCTAACCTATTTTGATTGTCAGTTAGTTAACCAAGCAATCCGCTTCGTGTTTCGGAATTTGAACGTTAAAACCAACACATACGTATACATTGTAGACGGAAATTTAAATGGAGTGCCGAACAGTGTCGATACGATTTTATGCAATCTACGGTATATTGAATTTCAGGCGGTTGGGGCGTAATAATTGAGAGAAACTATTATTCATCGAAATCCGTTATCAGTTTTACCGATGCAGGTGACAATCCGTGCACGCTCCGACCGCATTCCCCGCACTCGACAGCGCTCTGCTGCAACGCTTCAACGCTATGCCGAATGCCGGCTAGCTAGGCTGACGCTGTCGATCCATACAGAATTTATTTTTCGTTTTGAAGTGTCTGAGAGAGATTCGGACTATTTCAGGTGCTATGCGTTTTCAGCTATCACCATGTAAATTACTCCGTAATCGAATGTTTCAACCAGGACCGTAAGGGTTAGCCCAATAGGGACTTTCGAATGTTGGGAAACTAGTATGCTTGTTTGGGTTGTTAGAATGTAGAGGTATGGGAGTTATGTTTAATAAAATAATATTCTCCAAATGCCCACTGAGTTGTTCATACAAGGTCTGTAAATTATGTGATGAGACTGATTTTTTAATTTTTGTTAATCCTAAGTACAATTGTCACCCTCAAAATAACTTGCTTCTGAATCCACTCGGCACTGGAGACAGTTCTTCCGCTCCTCATAGTGAACTCCGATACTTATGAGGTGATTTTTCAACTTCGGGAAGAGAAAAAAGTTGCAAGGATTCAAATCAGGCGAATAAGGAGGCTGAGGAGCCACAGGAATGTTTTTACAGTCCAAAAACTCGTTTAATGACATTGCTTTGTGACAAAGAGCATTATCGTTATGCAACACCCAGTGTTTCTTCGGATCTGATGAACGGTGGTGTTAGTCTTTCACCATCATTCTGATTGTCCACCGACGATCTGAACGCACAAGATTCCGGATTATGTTGATATTTTCATCGGCTGGTGAAGATGAAGACCTTGCGCTTCGCAGGCCTGCTGAAGCTTAGCAAGAGCTTCCGTTGCACTGTGCACAAGTCTGAAGCAAAACCTGATAAAACACCGTAGCTCGAAATTGATGTCACTCATTTTTAGGACACTATAGAAAAACCTGTAAGTTGTAAGTCTCATCACCTGATTTACAGACCTCATACGTACAATACTAAGTTTTTCAGCAACAATTATTGAGGCCCAATTTCACCAATATCTTGAAGAGAGGTGGGTTGTTTTAACATACATTATCGTTGAGGATCCCTACAAAAAATGTCAAGTGGGGTTAGAGATCTCGCACTCATTTAAAAAAATGTCGCAATTTTCATGATTTTTTTCAGATAAAAATTGTAGGCGTTAATAATGGGGTTTGGTAGTTATAGGGGGTGGAGGAAGGTACATTTCTATTTTGTCGTTGATATATTAGACATATTTCATAAATCATAGATTTCCCTCGTTAGAAGTCGAAATGAAAGAGACATATTTTCATCACACGAACGTAGTATATACTCGTATATCTACGCCGAAGTTAACATAGTCTTTGGACATTTATCGTTCTAGTACCGTATTTTTTTTTTGTACGTTTGTACAATTCTGATGTTCTGCTAAAAACTGAATATACAGTAATGGACAAAAGTATATAGACAAAGTAATATAGTGCTGTATTTATTTTTCAACTTGTTTTATTAATACACCAACCTGTATACATAATTCGTTATAGCATAATACTCACTTATACATAAATAAATTTATTAGACTCCCTTCAATAAAAAATTAACTGAAAAAAACTGGAACTATGAAGAACAAAAATATATAATAGACAAAGCAAAACAATTATAGAAAAAGAAGCAAAGTTCATTGAACTACACAAAAACCAACCATGTTTGTATTAATATTTTGTAGCATAACCATTATTATCAATCTCCGCCTGGCATCGTCTCAGCATAGATTGTAGAAGTTTCTTGATATAAGATTCATCAATCTGTCTCCACTTTTGCTCTAAAGCTTGCTTATCTAAGTATTCCCATAGATTTTCAATGGGGTTTTATATTGGGAGACTGTGAAGGCCATTTGAGAACTGGTACTTTTTCATCCAGAAAGAATTTCTTTGCGAGATTTGAAGTGTGCTTCAGGTCATTATCTTGCTGGAAGATTGATCTTAAGGGCATATTGTCTTCCATATAGGGTAACATGACATGCTTTAGTATGTCTGTGTATACAAACTTATCGATAATGCCATCTATTCTAGGTAAAGGTCCCATCCCAAACCCCGAAAAGCACCCCCAAACATTTTGAACTTGAATTCGTCACTGAAACATACCCTCTTCCAGTCACAGATGCTCGAATCAAGATGCAACCGTGCAAATTGTAATCCATCCTTACGGTTTTTCCTCAAGATTAGCGGCTTCTTACACGGGCGACGTGCGAATAACTTCAAATTATTTAATCTTCTACTTATAGTTTTCGTAGAAACACTGACAATTTCTGTTTTCGGCTTTTATTTGTCTTGGGGTTTTAAATGGATCTTTGGACGAAATTACTTTTATTAATCTAACTGATCTTTTGTTTATATTTGTTCAATATCGCCCAAATTGCTTTACGCTTCAGCTTAAAATTTTTGGCAATGTCGAATTGACGTTGACTATCTTTGTATAACTCAATGATCTTAGCTTTCACATCGAAAAAAAATTTCTGGACCACGCGGGATGGTCTTAAAATCACTTAACTTATTCCACAATACTTGATGAACACAAATTGATCCTCTTCTGACACGAAACTGTACTAAACTAATGTTGAAAAGGATTTGTCTACATATTTTTGTCAATCATAAAAAAGTGCTTATATTCAGACTTGTATTGTGTTCATTGCAGATAATGTAAAAACAAGGAATTTAGTTTTTCTACTAATAACGCATTTATTTATGGAGCAATGAAGTATGAATTCGTTTTCTAAAGGTATTTAGGTAAATATTCATATTTGTCCATATACTTTTGTTCGTCACTGTATGTCTAATTCAAGTCGTTGGATAATGGCGCCAAATTTCAATCCCAAAGTACCTTTTATCTGGCATCTAATCGACACTAGCACTCAAGTAGTACATGGAAAGGTAACTGATGGTACGCCACTGCCAGCGAGGTGAGTCTTTGTGTAGGTGAACGCGCATCTCACCGTACTCTAAGATAGTGGCGTTACTCCCTCTACCATTCTGGTACTTTGCTCTACTTTCGGTCTGCTACCCTTTAACAGTCACAAACAACGTCGAATAGGAGGAAATTGATAAATGACATCTGCATGAGTTCCTTATTGGGTTTCCGTTATTTTGACAATTTCAATTCATGACTAAAACAACGTATCTATTTGTCAAAGAATTAAATAAACTGACAATAAATAGACAAATTGCTTATAGAAGCTAAATTTATTTGTTCTTCAGTTGTAAAATGTATAAATATAGGTATGCTGCGTGTAAGAAGAGTTATGAGTTATATAAATTATTCGTCATAAAGTTACAGAAAAGAATTGGGTTAACAGTAAACCGCACACTATAAAACAGTATGCATGCGATAAGCCGGATTTAATGAAAAAGAAATTGAAAAAATATGTTAATAAGTAATATTATAAATCAGAATAATACTCTTATCGAATTAGCTATATAGTGTGTAAGATTGTGCTTTTAAGATATGCGAAATTAGCTGGAAATTCTGTAACGTTAGAATACAACTTTAGACCTAGATCCAAGTGGCAAAGATCATTATGCAACGCAGTCATTCGAAGAATGACCTTTTGGAATATTCACGTCTCAAAAATTGCACAGTTGCGAACAGTCGAAGGCCAGGAAATCATTTTTTGCCATCAAGAATGGGTCCTTACAAACGCATCTTTGTTCAACTTGAGTTCTGTATTACAGCCTTTCCTTTATTTGTTTTTTTTTGTTGTTTCTAGAACATTTTCCC